AGAAAACACTCTGAAAGGGCAGAGGAGTAGAATAGATGAGATGGAAGGCAGAACCAGTGAGCTGGAAGACAAATCTCTCAATACCACTAAGATAGAAGAACAAACACAAAAAAGGAAAAAAAAATTCTGAAGCAGGTCTAAGATTCATGCTGGACAACATAAAGAGGAATAACTTAAGAATTATCAGCATTCCAGAACAAGAAGAATCACACAAGTACAGAGAAAATAGTTGAACTGCTGGAAGAAAAATTCTCTAACATCCTAGATCTAACAATGTTCCACTGCTATTCATAAGGTTTTCAGTGGCTAACCATTTAGAAGTGGTTCGCCTCTCCTTCTTCCTGGAAGCTCTGCTGAAACATGGGGACCCTTCTGGTACTTAAAATACTAGGGGCTTAGCGTCCAGCATCACAGCAACACAAAAGCCACCACATTCGACAAACTAATAGACACGTGGTGGGTGAGTGGTCTGTTTAAAATAATCAAATACTTCAAAACCAGCTTTTAAAACACTGTCTTTTAAAGGTTAGAAAGTAGTTTTCAAGAAAGGAGAAGAACATTCACAGCTGAACCCAGATAGGTATTCTTATTGGTAATTGGCAATCACAAACCTGGAAGGAAAAGGAATTTGAAGAGAGATGAGCCAGGCTTGAGTCATAAAATGCCTTGCAGTCTGTATCAGTTAGGACTTTTATTTCTAAATGACAAAAAAAAAAAAAAAAAATTTCACATGTGTCTGAGAGTATTCTATTGTCTCACTTAGCCAAAAAAGGTCGAGATATAGTGAGAATGATGCGAACCAGAGACTCTCATTTTCTGCCTTTCCTTTTGTCTGTGGAATGACTTCATTGTCTCTTACTACAGACTGGTTTTCTCTGAGAAATGGAGAACGTGTGCTTGGCTCACATCCTACAACTTGACTTCTGATCAGAGAAGAAATGACCTTCTCTTTGCACACGCTTCCATTCCAATTTGGAAATATCCTGAGAGAAAGCTCTAATCAATGTTTTTTTTGAGTCACATGCTTACTGCCAGACCAGGAGGAGGATGGCTGCTCTGGTTAGTACAGCATGGGTCCCATGGCCACCCTAGAGTCATCACTAGTTCCCTTTGTAAACATACATTCTCTGAGTCCTTCCCTGCCCACGCTATCTAAGTAGCACTCACATCACTCCAGTTCTTTACCCGGTTTTTCAGAATACTTATCACTGCCGGTCATCAAATATATATATATATCTGCCATTGTGTCCTCAAATAAAATGTAAGGTTTGTGACATCAGGGACCTTGTCTGTTTCCATTGTCTAAGACAGTAACTGGGATATGGCAAGAGCTTAATAAATATTTTTAGTTAATAAATCTGGAGATTTCATATTCATTGGTAAAGGTGACTAGAAATATTTATTCTTTCTTCCACCTCCTTAGTAAAAACAAGCAATTAGAAACTGAAAGGAGCCAAATAAACTTTGAGTGTATATGAGCTCAGTGATTAGTCATGAAAGTTACTCACAAAAATAGCAAGTGAACTACATTTTCTTAAGATGGATAATTGTGGAAAATATAACTTGCACAATGGATGCATACGTAGTCCTAAAATTGTAATGGATTAACTTTCTGAACTTGCTTTCTATTGCTGGACATTAATATTTAAACTATAAATGTCTGTAAGTATGTACACAGAGATACCAGTCCACACACATATATGCATGCATATTTACATACACTTTTACTGATTGACATTAGAAACTGGAAACAGAGATGTGAGTTTTAAGGCATGATGGTCAGTACACTTCTTGCAAAATAGCCCTTGGCTCTAGCCAGGCAAAAGGAAATACTCCAAAACAGCACATTGTCATGCTGTCCTGTATTAGCATCACTCAGATTCTGATCACTATAGTAGGCTGAGCATTCTCCCCTGCCTGATCTTAACTTCAAGACAGGGTAAGGTTATGGGTAGTAGAGTAAGGACTGCATCTAGAAAAGATAAGCGAGAAATAGGCAAACGTTTTTTCTTAGGCTTTCTTTCTCTTCTTCTAGTGCTGCTTCCCTTGCTATTTTTTAATCTTTGTGATGCATGATGGATGTCCCAAACTTAGCCACTTAGCATCTTAGCCAAGTTTACTTTATCCTGTTGTTGTTGTTTAGTGCCGTCAAGTCCGTTCTGATCCATAGTGATCCTGTATAGGTTTTCGAGAAGCAGCTGATGAGCTTGAACTGCCCACCTTGCAGTTCAAACGGCTTTGCTGTCTGGCGCATTAACCCACAGCACCACACCAGGACTCCTGCTTTGCCCTGTCATTGTCGTTAAGTGCCGTGGAGTTGGTTCCGACTCATAGTGACCCTGACAGGGTTTCCGAGGCTGTAAATCTTTACGGGAGCAGATCGCCTCATCTTTCTCCCGCGGAACCGCTGGTAGTTTCGAACTGCTTACCTTGCGGTTTACAGCCCGATTTGTAACCACTACGCTACCAGAGCTCCTCAAACTTATGTTTTTTATATCCTGACCACCACCACCAGACACTCACACCTTACCTACAAATCCAATCAGATCTTCCATTCGGCATTTAGGAAAACAATTTAAACTACATTTTCCACTCCACTCCACTCTTCTCTGGGTGCTAAGAAACTCTTAAGGAATGGCCTTTTTCTTGCTACCTATCTGAACCAGAAGATCTCTATGTCAAGCTTCTTTCTTTTCTTTATAAGTGATTGAATGTGTAAATGTGGTTCCTATTTCCATTCCACACTCTTTCCCAACCTCTATGAACCTTGTTCCCAGGTAAATGAACCTTGTCCCCAGGTAAATGAATCTTGTTCCCTTTTGATCTTGAATGGTTGATCATTCCATGATGAACATATCTCATTAGTGTTGATGTCCCCTCTATATATCTATCCACCGCTTAGTTGAAAATTCCGAATTTTGGCTTTCTTAAAAACTGCTAGGACTTTGAATATGTTTCTGTTGCCTTATGATATTTTTATCAATTTAAGAAACATAATTATTATGAGCCTAGAATTTGTGAATCTTTGAAAAGGAATTAAAAAGCTATTAACTCGTTCTCCCTATACAAATCACACACTTCTTAGATTTGGAGACAAGCTTAGAAAAAACACTCTAACACTTATGAAGGTAAATGATACAAGGTGTCAGCTTTTCTGCCCCCAATTAGAATTTCAGACTGCCACATGTTAACCCTTTAGCCAGCTCCTCCCTTTTGTCTATCTGCAGATCTGATTATCCTGTCACTCTGTTGTAGCTGCTGCAAGACTTACGTCGCCATCTCAAAATTCCCCTATACTTCATAATAGAGAACTTGATCAAAAGTTACTGTATGAAGGAAGATTGAAAAAAAATTTTTTTTCATAAAGGAAACAAGGGTAAATTGCTACAATTTGATGAACTTGACCTTTACTTATGGATGTAGTAGCTCAAAATACCAACTGAGAGGGAAGGAGTCTTTAAATCAAGTATAAATTCTATCCGCTCTGTATACAGGGTTGATAGGGATGGGCAACATAGGCATAGGCTACCTAAATGAGGGGGCTATAAAAGCACGAAGTCACTGGCTTACAAGTTTTCAAGAGGGAGTTTAGTTTAAGAGTATGTAGGGGAAGGTAGAATCCCCACTGAATAGTTTTCTTCTTGTCTAGATGGGTCTGGTGAAAGAAGATGAGAATAAGATTCTTATGATTCAATAGTGTTGATTGAATAATTGTTATCATGACTAATTGCTACTGTCACAATTGTAAAGGTAGAAGTTTTGTAACAAAAAGGGCGGTGTAGTTAATCTTACAGTCCAGGAACAGAGGACCCAAGGACAATCAAGGGACAGGAGCACAAGCAGAATGTAGGACCCTATCTAGAGAAGCAGCAACACCAGAGATGGAGGCAGAGATGAGGACATGGAGGGAGCAGCTGAGGACTGTAGACTCATGGAAAAAGAAGGACTGAGAGCTGGTGGCCAGGAGGCAGGCTTGCAGAATGTGCCCTTTAGTTGTTTAAATGATTATATATTCCTGCGTGTTTTTGTGTACATTCAAAAAAAAAAAAAAACAAGAAACAGAGAATAGAAACAAATACTGTTGAATGATGATGCACAGAGATTGTAATCATTGCAATCAAATGATTAGTGTAAAGCCGATGTTCTCCCATGTAAACTATCACTCAATTTACAATAACAACTTAAAAATATATATGTACATGGAAAAAAAGAAAAAAGTTACTGTGTGTCTCTACTGGCTCAACTGTTTCTGATAAACATATGAAACTTTAGTATATCAGATATACCTTACATATGTTCCTCCTTTTATTATTTGGACTTCTAAACTTTCGTCTTTCTTTTGTAGGACAATGAAGGTCAAACAGCTCTGCATTATGGTAAGATGTTTCTAATTAATGATAATAATTGAAACTTTTCTCTATTTGTTTATCTCAATCTTGTGTGTCCAACACTATATCCATAGTGTTTAGAAAAGTACTTAGCAGTAACAGAGGTACAATAACTTTGTTTTATCTATATGTATCTGTATCAATCAATCAATCGATAGCTATATGTATCTATATAGATTTATCGATAGAGTTGTTGCTATTGTTAAATGAATGCTGTGAAATCAGTTCTGACTCATAGCGACCCTGTGCAAGTTTTCTGAGGAGCATCTGGTAAGTTTGAACTGCCTACCTTGTGGTTGGCAGTCCAGTGGTTATGCAACAGTGCCACACCAGGATGTAATATGTATATTGTTGCTGTTGTTAATTGCCAACAAGTCAGTTACAACTCATAGCGACCCTGCAGAGGGTTTCCAACCAGTGGTTCGTGGGTTTGAACTGCCAACTTTGCAGTTAGCTGTCCAGTACTTATCCTATAGCACCATACCTGGACTCCATATGTGTATTGTTGTTGCTATTAAGTACTGGTGAGTCAGTTCCAACTCATAACATCCCTGTATATGGTTTCCAAACCTTTAAATCTATGAGGGAACAGAAAGCTTCATCTTTCTCCTATGGAGCAGCTGGTGGGCTCAAACCACGGACCTTGTGGTACACAGTCAGTGCTTAACGTATGGAGTCATATGTATGTTAGTAAACTAAAATTGGAGATGTATTAAAATTATTTTGGGTATGTTCACAGTAAATTTAACATTTCTATATTATTGACAGTAATGGAGGCTCCTCCAAGTCTCCTTTGAAATTTTATTATTTCATTTTTGATACGGTTATTGACAACTAAGATGCTAATCACTGTTAATGAAGGAACTAGAATCTCTCCTACAAGAAATACTTTCAGCTTCATAATTAAGATTGAAATGTCAACAATTCCATACCCCAACTTATTTTTTTAACTTAGCTGCTATAATCTAGGTATCAACGCCAGCAGAAGAAAGGAAAACCTGTAAGTCAATCTGACCTTTAAGCATAAATGAAAAATCCCTAAATAGAATATTAGTAGATGAAATCTAACAATGTGTTGTTAAAGTAAAGATATGCCATGACCAAGTTGTATTTATCCAGATATTTACGAATGATGTGACAATTTAAATTCTTATTAATGTAATTTATCAAATTAGATTAAAACCCATGTGATCAAATGAAATATACAAGAGCATTTGAAGAAATTCAGCACTCATTCTATGACGTGCAGTATAGAACAGTGATTAATATCTTGGCCTCTTCAGCTATTAACCTTAGACAGATGGTTTAACTTTACTGTACCTCAGATTAAGGAGCCCTGGTGGCCAAGTGGTGAGGCAGGAAAAAGCTGTAACAGTCTGCTTCCATAAAGATTGTTGTTCTTGTTGTTAAGTTCCATCAAGTCATTCCGAGGAGCAGCTGGTAAGCTTGAACCACCAACCTTTGGTTCAAGCTGACTTTGCAGTTCAGTGCATTAGCCCACAGCGCCATATGGAAATCTTATAGGGCAATTTTACTCTGTCCTGTAGGATTGCTCTGAGTCTGAATTAGACTTGGAAGCAATGGGTTTGGTTTCTTGGTTTTGTTTTCTGTTTTCAGTTTACTCAGTAAAATAAAGTTAATATACTCAGAGGTTATGAGCATATAATGAATAAATCTATGTAAATTACTTAGAACAATGTCTCGTACCTGGTACTTACTCTGTATGATTGTAAATATTCTTATTCATGATTGAAATTCTTAATAAACTAAGAATGAAAAGAAGCTCTCATAACCCAATGAAGTTATGTGTCAAAAACCTAGAGCAACCATTATTATTTAAAATGGACTATTCGAAGCAATCTGGTTAAAATTTGGAACAAGAAAAGTATGCCTGTCACACTGTTTCTATTTAGTATTGGATTGGATTTTGGAAATACACAGAACAAAAATAGGTACATGGGGGAGATAAAAAGATTATCCTTATTCTCAAACAATGTAATTAGCCATGCAGAAAATTCAAGAGACTCAACTGTCAATTTATTAAAACTAGTAATATAGTTTACCAAGATTGCTGAATGTAAGATCAATTTAGAAAACTAATTAGAGTCTTTTTTCAAAGGGCAGAAAATTTAAAAATGTAAAGATGTTACTTATAATAGCCGCAAAATCCTAGGAAGTTCATGGATTGGAAAAATTAATATTGCTAAAATGGCAATACTTCCAAAATTGATCCACAGATTGAACACAATTGCTGAGAGACTCCCACTTTCTTCTTTGCAGAAATTGGCAAGCTGATTCTAAAATTTATATGGAATTATAATTAATAGCCAGAACAATATTTATAAAGAAAGCTAGTAGGTGAGTTCACTCCTCCCATTTAAAACTTACTACAAAGAAGTAGCAGCAGTAACCAAGACAGTGTGGTACTGGTATACAGATAAACATACAGATCAATGAAATAGAATCAAGAGTCTAAAATAAACTTGTACATATATGGTCAACTAATTTTAACAAGGGTACCAAGACTGTTCAGTAGGATAAGAATACTCTTTTCATCAGTGAGTACTGGGGCAACTGGATAGCCACATGTGGAAGAATAAAGTTGGACCTTTCCTTCAATACCATATATAGACATTAACTCCAAATGGTTCAAATCTCTAAATATAAGAGCTAAAACTCCAACTCTTAAAAGGAATTATAGGGGTAAATCTTCATGATCTTAGATTTGGCAAAAGATTCATACTGTGATGCCAAAAGTATGAATAAAAAAAGAAAAAATAGGTAAATTGGACTTTATCAAAATTGTAAACTTTTGTGCTTCAAAGAACACCATCAAGAAAGTAAGGATAGCCCACAGGATGGGATAAAATATTTGAGGATCATATTTCTGATAAGGGATTTGTGTCTATAATATATAAAGAACCTCTTACAACTCAGTAATAAAAAGGTAACCCAATTTAAAGATCCGCAAAGGATCTGAATAGACATTTGTTTAAGGATGATATATAAATGGCCTGTAAGTACATGAAAAGATGCTTAGTATCATCAGCAATCAGCAACATACAAATCAAACCACGAGGAGATACTATGAGTATCCCACTAGGATGACTAGAATGAAAAAGTCCAGTGTTTGCTGTGGAGAATGTGGTAAAATCATAACCTACATAAACTGCTTGTGCTCTTGTAAACTATCTGTATGGCTGGCATCAAATGGATACAGCAACTTAAAATTGATTGGATAGGATTAGGAAGCATATTTTATGTTAACCAAGTTTATGTTGATGGGGAAAAACAATTTGAAAAAGGTTGCACAACTTGAGAATAGAAGCAATGTCACTGGATTGTATTTGTGGAAAATGTTGAATTAATGTACATTCTGTGTGTATTCGCAACAATAACAAAAAATAAAATAAATTATTTATTAAAGAACCTAAGAAAATTCAACAATAGTAAATTAAATATTTATAGAAAAATACATACACATGTTCTATAAACATTTGTATATGCTAGCAAATACATACAATAACTCTGGAAGGAAGCAAACACCTAATAATGTTGGTTGCCTAATGGGAGCAGAATTATGGGTTAGAAAACAGAGATAGAATAAGAAAGCTTTTTCCTATAAACCCATTTATGTCTTTTGTACTTAGAACTACATATTACCTGTTCAAAAATCAAATTGGAATTATTTTAAATTCAAGTATTATAGGTTCTATTAGAGTCCTCGTGTGGCGCAGTGATTAATGGACCAGATTTCAAAGCAGTGATTAATGGACCAGATTTCAAAGCTGTTTGAACTGCAAGGTTGGTGGTTCAAGCTCACCAGCTGCTCCTCAGAAACTCTATACAGGGTCATTATGGGTCAGAATCGACTCAACAGCACTTCACATCAACAACAGGCTCTATTAGTACTATTAACTAACGTCTTCGGTATGTTATCTTAAGCAAACAAACATTTATTAGCATCTGAATCACCGATGCCTGGATCCTGTGGTGAAGAGCCTGAGGCCTGTTGTGCCCAGAGTGGGTCGGAACCAAGTACTCAAACACCCAAGCACCGGCAGGGTAGGAGGCTGACAGGCCAGCGTGCCAGCAGCAGTGGATACAGCAGCGATGGATACCTTAGAGGAAGAGAGCTTCATCTGCCTCTGATGCAGAATTTGATGCTGTTGGTTGGATATTTAGAGGACATTATCATGGATGATTGTACCAAAAGGAAATGGTTAATGTTCAACTATTTCAAGAGATACCATATGAACAAGAGTCAATGATACTCAGAGAGGAAGTCCAAAGTGCATTGAAAGAAGTGGCAAAGAACAAGGCACCAGGAATTGATGGAATAAAAA